AATATGTCAGCCTTCCCCCAGTCTGATTCTATCCAAATATTTTCAACTATTACTCCCAGCATTGCTGGTCAATGGCAATGGTGAATTGGGCTTACAGGAGCTGGAGTCCAAAATATCTGGAGGGCACCAACTTGAGGAAAGCTGCCATTTATGATGTAAACATATGGTATGAAAAAACCTGTCCCAAACAGACTTACTGTAACAAGCCTGACTTATTGGAAATAACTTTTAGTAGAAAACATGGCGTTGTTTTGTCAGTCCAAATTCCTTTATTATCACATCTATTTTTATTCTGGTCACAATGTTTCTCCTATGCATTGCTATGTAATTTAATTTAAACACGTGGTAAGCTGAAATTAACGAACTGTTCATAAGTGTAATGCTAAGGTCATTTTCTCAGAAAGCCTGTAAGCATTCCTTTTTCTGTAGCCCAGATCAGAAAAGAAATCTATCATCATATATGTGTGTATGTCTACATATTTGTACGTATGTTTCATATATGCACAGAGCATTTTAAACATATGATTAAAATAGTTATTGATATTAAGAGGGTATTTCTTGCCTAACTTACTTTCTGAGCCATGACCTTATCAAAAGTTATTTGCATATACAACAACATCTTTAGATACAATCTGTATTAAACTGAAGTTATTTATTTCTTACCCAGCATTATATCCTGCCTTTTTTCCTTTCAAGGAACTCAAGATGGCTTACATGATTCTCTGTCACTCATTTTTACCCTAACAACAACAACTGTGTGAGGCAGGTTGGGTTGAGAATCTGTGCCTGGCTGAAAGTCACCCAGTTAGCTCCATGACTGAGTAGGGAGTAGAACCCAGAATTCCTGAGGTTCAGTCCCTCACTCTTAACCATTACACGACACTGGTTTTCACACTGGTGCCTTTTTCTTAGAAAGTTCATAATTTTTGTAATTAGTATAACTTTTAATTTCTGATTTTGGTGATTGTTTTGTATGAACAAATCTAATTCAAAATATTATTATTATTCCATTGCATTGTTATCCCACCATTTTTCCTCCAATGAGAAACCCAAAGCAGCAAACATAGCTCCATTTTATCCTCACAACAATATCCCTGTGAAGTAGGTAAGATTGAGAATCAGTAACTAACCCAAAGTCCCAGTAATTTTCAAGGCTGAATGAGAACTAGACCCTGGCTCTCCCAAGTCCCCAGTTCAACCAACACACTAAACCGGCTCTCAACACACTTTTAGTCCATATTGATTTTCGCGCTCGCTCGCGCGCTCGCGCTCGCGCTCGCTCTCTCTCTCTCTCTCTCTCTCTCTCTCTCTCTCTCTCTCTCTCTGTGTTTGTGTGTGTGAGAGTGTGTGTGTGTGTTTTACACAAATGTGTTTTACACAAAGAGACACAGAGTTGGATCACAAGAGACTCAATGTTATTGCACTGAGTTGTGGAGTTTTGATGAAAAAAGGAAGGGACCAGCTCCACACTGCTGCCAGCCCAACTGTCTATGCCAACTGCTGGATAACTCAGGGAATTTGGAATAGCATGTGGCTACTGACAAGTTAGGTCAATCCCACAGCTCTTTATTATCTCATCAAGATAAGCTGACAATATTTCCCAAGTCAAACCCAAACCCATGCACAAATCTCCCAAAATAAGGGTGTATGGGGAGTTCATTTTCATTTGCCCAAACCAGAGTCCTTGGTCAATACAGTGTGAATATAAGAAAGAAACAACTTTCAACATGATACGCCAAAATTGCTGTTTGTGTTATGAAGGAGGTGTGGAAACGTTTCTTTCTGGATCTGTAAATCAGCAATCATCCAGCACTGATAGCAGGTATCTGCAGCATCAGTAAAAATGGCAACATTCATGATACATTCAAAACTTAAACAATACCAGTTTGTGAGTAACAAAGAGCCAAATTAGTGTTTTTCTGGAGCCTCTGCCTTAGGCAGAACAGCCAGAGAGAAACAGTCTCTATTCAACCCCTGTTAACATAAATCTAGCCAGCCATGTAAACCTTCTGGAAGGCAATATGGCTGGTAAATATGCCCATGTGGCACAGCCAATAGCTGTGCCATCCCCTGCTAATACCGCATCTCTTTTCTCTACCACACTGGCACAACACTGCTCTGTGTCTGTGTTTATAACAAAGAAAAAAATGGGGCAGGGAGACAGATTTGCCAGTTCCATTTCTTTATGGAACCTGTGTCATACAGCTGTTTAGAGTACAGTGACAGCTTTGGCTCAAGTGCAGTCATAGCTCTGATCCAAGTATATAAGGAAGCTCCATTGCCGAGAGATGGCAAAACCATGCGCTAGATCTTTGGACAATAAGGAAATTTAGAACAGGAACTGGAACCCTACTGTGTGGAGTTCCACCTCACTTGATAACAGTGGCTGTAACTACTGCATCACGATCCACTGTGGTAAGACATTCATTTTGAGATAAGCCATCCAAGTAGATCCAGATACCCTACTTTCTGAAAAAGATTAGTACTACATTGGTTTGCCCAAACAGCTGACTATTCTTCATTTTGGATGATTCAGTTAAATTCAGTTAAATGAGTTCTGTACAGATTCACTGTTTA